ACAGACCTCTGGGGCTAGGGTGGGGGGCGAGGTCGAGCTTGACCATGGGTGCGCATGTGGGCTGAGGTCGACGGGGGCTGTTGCCTTAGTAAAAATTTAATGCGCTTTTGATGATGGCCATAAAATGGCCAAACAAAATGCATGTGGGCGGCACAGAAAGAGGGTGGCGTGCCCGGGGCGTGGTCCTGGCATTGCATGTGGAATCTCTGCGCTAGATAAAATATTAATTTATTTTTGTATGTTTTTATTTTTTTTTTTGTTTATATATATATATATTTTGCCTGCTTCTGCTGCTGCGGTCACACTCCCTCGTCGTATCCTTGCGGCTATTGCAACGCAGTTATAGTGCCTCATAAAATTGTACGTATTTATCCTGCGCGCCACAGAGAGCACTTAATTTTAAATAACTGTTTCGTGTTTGCCACAACTCTGCCCGTCTCTCTCTCTTTCTCACATACCATCTAGCTGTCTCTTGTATTCTATTCGTACTGGTTGTTATTAATATTTTCATTTTAATTTTCACGCGCTTTATTTGCGCTTTCGCTTATATTTTTCTGCGTTTTTCTTATTTTTTTGTTCTTTTATTTCAACGCCTTTTGATTTGCTCATGTTCTGTGTTTATTAATTTCAGCGCGTGGCTCGTGCTCAACTTTTCCTTTTGTTTTATTTTTTGTATTCGCCCGCAGCTTGACAGTGGGTCACAGAAGTTTTCGGTCCCTTAACTATTGCAGAACATTTGCAATTGAATGTGTTTATATTTTGTTTAGCCTTGTCTTATGGAAATTGAAAATGTTTTTCATTCGCTTTTCTCAGTGTTTGTCCATTTTCTATGAATTTTTTGTTTTGATATTGCGTTTAATTTATGGGCAGCTACTGGCGAGAGATTGGGAATAAATAATCAATCCATAAAAAAAAAAACGCAGAAATGATTTAGGTGTTCAACAAATTTAGTACACTTTCAATAAACTTCAGCACTTCCATTAGCTTGGCTTTCGCAATTTCCGTTTTTGGAAATTTATTTGCCTTAATCTTACAAATTGTTCTATAAAACTTTGATATTGATTTTAATTGATATACATTTTTTAACAGCTTTGAACAGTTATGAATGTATTATTTAGAAATAATAGGAATAAGTTTGCTTGACTATATTTGGTATCGAAATTTACTTTAAATTTACATAAGTTTTTGTTGTCAATATTATTCTATTGTTCATTAATATTCGATATTATTTTTTAATATTCCTTATTATTCATCAAATGCAATCTGAACTAAGTGTTTTTTTTGATCTGGTTCTGTTTTTTATCAAAAAGCATGTCTTAATTTGACTCAAAATTTTCCGCATATCTCTTCTGCCCAGGCTTTTCCTCAGCAGCTCTCATAATTTTGATTGAACTAAATTGATTTGTAACTTAAAAGCTTTTAATGCTCTCTTAGAAAATTATACTTTATTTTTCCTGACAACTATTGTTATATATTCAGTCGTTTTATTTTTCCCTGTCTGGTTTATTTTTATCGCAGCTGTTTAGTGGCTGTTTGAAAGTCAGACCACATTATGGCCCTAGGTTTTTCGCAGCTTGTCGCTATTTTATGAGCCACATTTTCATTAAGTCGCTCACACGCACTAACACACATGCACGCCCACATAGACACACACCCACACACTTAGCGAGCATATTAAAGTGTGTGTTCTATTACTTAATTATTAATAATGCCCGCTCATCGCTTTGCACACACTCAAGCAGGCGCAAACAGATATAGACACACACAGATACACACACACACACACACACACACACACACACACAGAGCTAACACTTGCCAGCTGGTGATGTCCACAGCTTGTTTTATTGGAAGAAAAACAAGTTTTTCGCTCTCTAACAGCCCCCAGTCCTTACCACAGAACTTTTCTAATTAGTTTTTGTGCACAGTGCGCTTTATAGTTATGCATTTCACTTCTTGGCGTTGTTGCAAGTGGTTGCACGTAGCTGCTGCTGCTGGGGCAGCAGTAGTCAGTAGCCAGTGGCAAGTTTCGCAATTTTTCCCTGCATTTATTACAATTTGCGTGGAGCAGACGCCAAGTTGCCAAGTCTAGACCTGCCGCTCGGCAGCTGGACATGTGGGTGGCCCACTGGATGATGCTCGAAAATGTGCGCAATTATTGTAAATGTCGCTATCATTGAGCAACTGAGAAAAGTGCTAAAGTAGCAAAAGAATTAAATGAGTCTGGTTAATGAGCAAGCAGCGAATTGAAAGACTGACTGAATGAATGAATGAATGAATGGATGCTGGCGCGTGCCTTTGGCTAAAAGTATTTCTCGGAGCGACCTTTTGCCGCAGTTAATGGATTGTCCTCCGCCTGATTATCCCATCAGTATGGCCAATGTCAGTTCTGTAACTTAAGCGTATTTACTGCTCTACCATTGTTTCTTGGTAATTGGAGAGGATTAAGCATGACTGAAGTACTCTCTCTCTCTCTGTTTGCGTGTGTGTGTGTGTGTGTGCCAAGCAACGCTAATTAATGCATAAGCAAATGCCGTTGGCATGGCGAACGCTCCAAAACAATTGGAATGTCAGTGGAATGCCAACAAGTTAACTGGCACGTGGCCAGGAGCTCTCAAAGCGAAGCTTAAATACATATCTTAAGGCTGGGATGAAAGTTCTGTTAACTAGCTTGGTATATAATATTAAGAGTTCTTTTAATTCTGCTAATTTGCAATTGCTGCTGATTTTAAATGAATTTTGATCAGATTACAAAAAAAAAATTGAGCTGCTAGTTATTAATAATTCAGTGATAAGACTATGCCAAACTGTGTTATTTTAAAATAAATTTCAGCCCACTTTTCAAGCAACAAATTGAGTACGTTTACTCGACGAATTCCCACCCGTAGACCCACTCAAGGCTGCTTTTAATCTTCACTTTGCGCTAAGCCCACATAAAACCAAAAAGCAAACACAAACAACAAACAATATTTCTATAGGCTGCGCTGTGCCTTTATAAGCCACTTAATCAAGCTTCCCATCGCAACGCCGAACCATTCTTTGGCTGTCAATTACTGCCAGAGTCATGCCAACAGCCCCTATCCCTATAACTCCCCCCAGGCGCCAACTCCCCGGGCTGCTTATTGGAAAATCTGTGCAAACATTTTCAACAAGAGCGCAAAATTTGTTGCGCCAACTTATCGATGAATTTCATGAATAACAAAATATATATTTAGCTAAAGCTCTCAACAAGATTTATGCGCTCAGGACTTGGCCAAAAGACAATCAGTGACCCACCCCGCCCCCTTGAAGGCAACTTGTACAAATTGAACGTTTAACCCATTACAGACCAAAATCCTCTTGAATATTTTGGCCTCTTAAATGAAATAAATAGAAAAGCAACGAATTGAGAGGAAGACGAAAATTTTGCAGTTTAAATTTAACATAAATTACCATGGCAAGAACGACTCATTATAATTTGCCATAAATTCACATAAACTCACCCTCCTCCCTCTATATACATATAAATATATATATACATATATATATGTTTATGTATATATAGAATGATGTATTTTGTTGTTAAGCCTTAAGACACGTTGCTGCCTGGCGGGCTGCTGGAAAACTCATTAACGTAATTTTCGAAAATTTATAAATGTTAATTGGAAAATGTACTTTTCGGCTCTTGTCTGAAATTCTCGCACTTGGCCCTAGACAATAACTGCTTATTAAATTATGCTAATGAGTTTTGCTGCGCCAACTGTCAGCGAAATGCCGAGAACAATTTTCGGGCGGCCCAAAACTGTAAACCAGCCAAACGAAAAATTCCAATTATCATCATCAGCAAAAGAAAAGCACGCAAAAAGCAGTTAACTACAGATGGCTGAGGTTCAAATACGCTGCATATTTTGTCTTTATTATTATTATTATTTTACTTGAAAGCCAAATATATAAATATTTATTTATGTATATAAATTTAGCTGCACGCTAAGATAGCGAAAAACTTTAGTTCGAAACTTTTACGCTTACCAGCCGATTCGCCTCAAACTTCTTTTCAAAGACCCTTGTTTAAATAAATCGGGCTTGAAGTTTGGTGAGTGAAGCTTCGCAATCAATTAAATATCCGAGATACTTTATGATTTTTCATATAAGACATGTTTCACACGATCGAAGTTATTTTCGAAGCCGTATATAAGAACTAAATGAATACGTACTTCAGAGATGTTGGATCTTCCAACCAAATTTGACAAAGGATTTGCAACTATTTATTTATAGGCTTTAAGCACATTTTCAAAGTTCTTTATGAGAGAATTGGCTTAATGCGTTTTCGTAAACTTCCTCGATTTTTATGGAAATGCGGGTCAAAAGTTCAATATTCTCAAGCTTCTCAACACAAGACTAACATAGGCAGAAATCGTTTATTTCAACATTTGCTTTTATATTCGATACACATTATTCAAGATGGTGTGAGTTTATTTCACTTATGCACGAAAGTGAACCTGGTATAAAATGTATTATCTAAAATTTTTACAAATACTCGAATGGATGGCATAAACATCATAAACTCGTAGATATAGCTGCCTTGCGCTTGATCCATTGCTAGGGTATAAAGTCAGACTGCAAATTGGTCAGGCCGGAATGTCAGTCACTGCATGTGTGTGTGTGTGTGAGTATGATATGTGTGTTTGTGGTGAATCTGAGTGTGTGTGTGTTGGTGACTGCATTCATAGCCATTTTTGGTTTTTGTTTTTGTTTTCTGTGTGCTGCTGTTGTGTGCACTGCTCGTTTATTAATTAGTCAGGACAATGCGAGAGTGGGACGACAAAAACGGTCGTTGCCAGCTTTTTGAGGGCTGTTTTTGTGGATATTTTTGGTTGAGTTGTATATGGCCTGCGTACGTCAGTTGGGTCTGCAGAATGTCGCTTAATTTGCCAGCCAGCGCGCAGAGGCTTTCAATTTGTTGTTAACTCATGGCTTCAATCTTTGATTTAATTCTCTTTTTTTTTTTGTGTTTTCTGCAGGATGTCTTGCATAAAATTTGCAATCCACATGGACAAGTGCTGCGCATTGTCATCTTCAAAAAGAACGGCGTACAGGCAATGGTTGAATTTGATAGCCTCGATGCGGCTACGCGTGCACGCGAGAATCTCAATGGTGCTGACATCTATGCCGGATGCTGCACTCTAAAAATTGATTTTGCCAAGGTAAGTGAGTCCGTAAAATCAGTGCGGAAGCTATATCCTTTTATATATAATATATATATATACATATGCATATATTCTAGCCGGAGAAATTGAATGTTTATAAGAATGAGACAGACACCAGCTGGGATTATACCCTGAGCACAGGTGAGATTCAACCAAGTGCGTTCACATTTTTTACTACTATTTCTATTAGTCTATAAGTGTACCTATGCACCCTACATAGTATACTATACAACTATATCTCTCGATCATGAATACACTGAACAACATTTGCATATGCCCCATAACAAACACTGTTTACACACACTCTCTCAACCGCACACTCACACACACATGCACTTGCTTTTTATTGCCCACATGTGGAGAGAGTTGTGAAAATATATATATGCATATATTATTATATATATATATATATATATATATATATATATATAACTCACTTTTGCCAATTAGTTGGCTTCATATTAGTTTTTTTTAGTTTCCGTACAACTTTTAGGCAGCGCATACAACTTTTGTAAACTTTTTCAATTGCCACACCCACACAAACACACACACACACACACGAACATATTTTAATTTAGATTAAAATTTATTAAGCGATTAAGCTTTGACACTCAGTTTTATGTGCGTGTACGCGTGTATTGCAGGTGTCAAAATAATATAAAACAAAAAAAGCATATATTAACATCATGTACGACAAGGCGTATGCGTAATTTTATTGAGATCTACAGAAACAAATGAATATTTAAGATATCACTCAGGCTTTATATATTTAGTTGCTATTTTTACTCTGATTTTCGACAAATTTATTTTTTTATTTTGATTTAACACAAAATAATTAAAAAATTGAATATTTTTATTTTAATCGAACACAATACTTAATAATTTTTTATATATATATTTTTTTGGTTTCACACAAAATTTCTTAAAATATTTAAACCATACACTCATTTTAATATTTATAATTTGTGTTTTTTTATTGTGTTTATTTATTAATATCATTTTGTTTTAATTTTTTAGTTGTTCCCTTTTAATTTTGTATTATTTGTATTATATTTTCTCACATCATATTCATATGTATATATTTATATAAACAATTATGCATAGCTAACGCTGCGCATACGTTATTTCTGGTCAAATAGTGTGCCGCCACCTGGCGTATGATTTCTATTTTACTTAGACTTTTCGCACAGTTCTAGCAAAAAAAAAGCGCGCAACACGCTCTATATTGTGTATACGTAATATTTATTTTAATAATATTTCTTTCTACTTTCTCAACGATTACCAGTAACCTTTTTGGCATTTCTGTCGTATGCCTAATATTTTAAAGCAAGTAATTTATAGGAATTGTGATAATCATCAAAGCTGACTTGACGTATGTACAATATGTATGTACAAAGAAAATTGTAGTTTATATACATATATTGTTTTAGGACACATGCAGGTCTAAGGTCTGCCTTCAAGCTGTGCTACCTGGCGTATGCGTAATATTTTATGTGTACGCTTTAAAGCTACAGTTTTTTGAATTCCATGCAGTTTTGCACAGCAATTATTATTTGCCTTTCTTTAGTTAGTTAGTTTTTTAGGGTCTACCCGGCTTGAAACCTTTTTCCCGACATAAAGCTTGTCGCAGGGGTCGTATACATAATAACCCGTTTGATGGCTTATGCCAGCGCCGTGTGGCAGCTCTAATTGCCTCAGTCAAAGCTGTCAAGCTCAAAACGCATAACTGACACAAGCAACAAACAACAACAACAACAAAAACAGCAAATGGCAGCAACAACATCAAACATTTATGATGCTCAAGCGCGCGGCGTCAAAGTTAGCAAAGCAGAAGACAACGCCCACGCTCGCGCTAGAGTACCCCAACCCAACCCCACCCATGTTGGCCACATCAAATGAAAGCTGCAACACCTGCTGCACACCCTCACCCCCTCTTAGCAGCCAAGCCCCTGCGCCCAGCTAGCCAGGCACATGTCTCGCTTTATGACAGTCGACAAAGTTGCGCGCGCGTTAAATGCCATTTTTAATTTTTATATTTCACTTTGAATAAAAATGAAATTAAACGTTGTGCGCGTCGGTTCGTTGTTGTCAGTTTGTCGTAGTTGCTGCTGTTGTTGTTTCTTTTGCTGTCGCAGACAGCGCGGCGGCAACGTTGTCGTGCAATTTGCCCCGGCCAGCCAGCCAGCCAGCCAGCTGGGTCGTCAGACAACGGACGCAGCAACTTCAAAAGGCCGACAAACTGCAGAAAATCTGCCAGCTGTGCGACATGCAAGCCCGCCGCACACACCCGCTTGCCCCCCTCTTGCTATGACGGCAATGTTGCAAGTGTCAACGGCAACGACAACAACAAAAACAACAACAAACGGCTGGAGTGGCCAAAGCCACAATAACTCAGACGGCAGCCAAATTGCCCACTGTCATATTCTGTTGTTGTTGTTGTTGTTGTTGTTGCTGGACAAACTTTTGACTGTGGGCTGTCCCTTGGATTTATCTGCTTGTTGTTGTTTCTGTTCTTGTTCTTGTTGTTTGCACTGCATTTGCATGCCGAGACGGCAGGTGGGCGGTACGAGGCTGCGGTGTCTGTTGCATAGCGTTGGCGTCGCTTGCAGCACTCAGCTCTTTTTCTGCCCCAATCTCTATCTCTCTCTCTCTCTCGCTCACTCTGTTTTTGCCACAAACATATGAAGCTGCAACCAAGTCCAGCAGCAGTTTGCCCCAGCAAAAGTTGCCATCAATGAATGCCAAAATGAATGAACTTGGCGGCACAGTCAGCCAGTTGGCTAGCCAGCCAGGCAGTCAGTAGTTGCAGCATCTGTTGGCATTCGCTGCCGTTTGCCACATTATGTGGGCGTGTAAATTAGGACCGGACACACAGAGACCATCTCTTTGGTTGTCGTATAATGAACAGGCCACACTGAAATGTGGCCATAGGCGGCGCCACATTTCTGTTTGCTTGTTTTTTTTTTCCCCCCCGACTGTGTTGCAGCTTGTGTCTGTGGCCACTGGTTGTTTGAAGTTTTTTTTTCGGCTTGGTAAGTTGACATAGCATTTTAGTGGAGTGTTCCAACTGTAGTGCTTAATTAGAACTGCTTTATATTCTTGTATATTTGTTAGTTTTTTTTTTTTCGATATCAACTAAAGTCGAATACATGATTCAATTGCTGTATTTCACAGTTCGTGATTCCTTTTTTTGCAGTACATCTATTCAGAATCAAAATGAGTTGGAAGGTAATCAAAAAAGTTGTATAGAATCATTATCCGCAAATTTTCCACGGTTGGGGCTGAAAAACGTATTCAACCAGTTTTAATATACATTTTTTTAAGCTTCCACAAATATTTTGTAAAATCATAATGCCCAATCGCTGGCAAGTATTTTTTCGCTTGGCAAATTCCACAGAGCTTACTTGGAATTTCTATCTAAATTGCTAACATGCAAAGTTCCACGAAAAGTAGGACTTGGCTTAAATGCATTATTTCATTGTGTATGTCCTTTTGATTTTTCGCAGACTTCACATAAACTGTTTTCCAAGAATTGGTCTTTTGGATTTAACCGTAATTGATTTCTAAGAATTCTCTAATAGGTCAACTCGTGTATTTAGAAGATAAACTTGGCTTTGTTTGGATAAATTATGCAACCAACTTAAGACAGATCATTGCCTTTGCCCATTCACTTGCTAATCGAATGCAAATCAATATGCTAACTAGCCAATTTTTCCCATAAGTAAATGTTCAAAGAGCTTTTACCATTCGCTTGCAGCTCGACTTTATTATAACCAAACTCACCCTACTCCTCGTGGCAAGTTATGCTGACCTTCGACCTTATATGACGGCCATTATAAACTGGTCTGCACTCTGGTCTGGCCAATCAATAGAATTCATTTAAAATACTGCTGCTGTTGGTGACAAGCCACGCCCACTACTGACGCAGAGCCATAAATTTTGCATGACTAACAACAATAACAATAAGAACTACAACAACAATGACAATTAAAAGGAAAAGACAAAACAGAAGCGATAAAAAGCTAAATATCAAGTGAAAAATGCAAACAACATTTGCATAAGCGTTAGCGTAGGGGAGGGGGGTGACCAGAGGGAAAGAGTATTCACAATCGACAAAAAAAATACCTGTCCTTCGAGCAAACAGTGAAGCCTGCCTTGAAATGGCAGCCAACCCAAAAGTAGTTCTTAAACAACTAAACAGCAACTGGCCCAAAAACTTAACCAACAAACCAACAGTCCAAGAACGAAAAAGACAAGACTCAAGCCCCCTTATAATAAGAAACCAAGCTTTGAGCGATAAAAATAACAAACTTTACCGCGAAGATTGCGGTTCAAACGCCCGTTCTAGAACAGAACACACTTTCAACGAAAAATAAATGAACTTAGCGTGCAGTTTGGGGTTCGAACCCCCGAATAGATGATAGCCAGCATAAAATCAAGTATTATAACAAAGTAAAAAAGAAAAAACGTAACTTAACTAAACGTAAAGTAAATTTGTGTATTATTTGCATTTGCCAAGCGTCAGGGTCGACGCTGGCGGCTAACCAACCTGACCAGACAGACAGACAAAAAGAGAGACAGCTGTATATTTACATTGGGGCTGACTTTTCAGGGTAGCTGTTAGGACAGGTTGCCTGCATATTTACGAGTGGCTTGTGTGCAGCCCCCGAGTCAGTCACTCACTTCACGTGCAATGTTTTATCTATGCGCGGTTGGCGCTTTTTGTTAATTTTCCACTCATTTTCCATGGCATCCTAGTTGCGGCTTCGCTCAAACAACTAACCAACCAGCCAACCCCTCGCCCATTGCTCTGCTTCCGTTTCCGTTATCCTGTTTAGTTTAAGTGTGGAGGGGTAGAGACGGGGGGGCTATTCAGATGGATTCTTATGCTCATCGCATTTGGCTCTTGTTTCGTGCTGTCACGCGATGTGTTTTCAGGTTTTGCTTCTTTGTGTGAAACTTGCTCGTCGTTGTGTTTTCTCTCTTTATTTGACTGCAAATTGTTTCTTTTTTTTCTTTCTTTCTTTTATTCGTTGAGTTGCTTGAGTTCCGTTTTTATTTTTCCTGACCCAAGGACGTTCGATTTTTAGTTTTACTTGACAAACCTACAAATACGTGCTGCTAGCTTACGTCTACGTAATGCAGGCTTTTCACTT